TAAGTACTGGGCTACTACTGTCCCCACTTATACAGCAAGTTAAGTACTGGGCTACTACTTTCCCCAGTTATACAGAAAGTTAAGTACTGGGCTACTACTGTCCCCACTTATACAGCAAGTTAAGTACTGGGCTACTACTTTCCCCAGTTATACAGCAGGTTAAGTACCGGGCTACTACTGTCCCAACTTATACAGCAGGTTAGGTACTAGGCTACTTCTGGCCCCACTTATACAGCAGGTTAGGTACTGGGCTACTACTGGCCCCACTTATACAGCAGGTTAGGTACTGGACTACTACTGTCCCCACTTATACAGCAAGTTAAGTACTGGGCTACTACTGTCCCCACTTATACAGCAGGTTAGGTACTGGACTACTACTGGCCCCTCTTATACAGCAGGTTAGGTACTAGGCTACTTCTGGCCCCACTTATACAGCAGGTTAGGTACTGGGCTGCTACTGGCCCCACTTACACAGCAGGTTAGGTACTGGGCTACTACTGGCCCCACTTATACAGCAGGTTAGGTACTGGGCTACTACTGGCCCCACTTATACAGCAGGTTAGGTACTGGGCTACTACTGGCCCCACTTATACAGCAGGTTAGGTACTGGGCTACTACTGGCCCCACTTATTCAGCAGGTTAGGTACTGGACTACTACTGTCCCCACTTATACAGCAGGTTAGGTACTGGGCTACTTCTGGCCCCACTTATACAGCAGGTTAGGTACTGGGCTACTACTGGCCCCACTTATTCAGCAGGTTAGGTACTGGGCTACTACTGGCCCCACTTATTCAGCAGGTTAGGTACTGGGTACTACTGGCCCCACTTATTCAGCAGGTTAGGTACTGGGCTACTACTGGCCCCACTTATTCAGCAGGTTAGGTACTGGGTACTACTGGCCCCACTTATTCAGCAGGTTAGGTACTGGGCTACTACTGGCCCCACTTATTCAGCAGGTTAGGTACTGGGCTACTACTGGCCCCACTTATTCAGCAGGTTAGGTACTGGGCTACTACTGGCCCCCCTTATTCAGCAGGTTAGGTACTAGGCTACTACTGGCCCCACTTATTCAGCAGGTTAGGTACTGGACTACTACTGGCCCCACTTATTCAGCAGGTTAGGTACTGGGCTACTAGTGGCCCCACTTATTCAGCAGGTTAGGTACTGGGCTACTATGGCCCCACTTATTCAGCAGGTTAGGTACTGGACTTACTACTGGCCCCACTTATTCAGCAGGTTAGGTACTGGGCTACTACTGGCCCCACTTATTCAGCAGGTTAGGTACTGGGCTACTACTGGCCCCACTTATTCAGCAGGTTAGGTACTGGGCTACTACTGGCCCCACTTATTCAGCAGGTTAGGTACTGGGCTACTACTGGCCCCACTTATTCAGCAGGTTAGGTACTGGGCTACTACTGGCCCCACTTATTCAGCAGGTTAGGTTATGGGCTACTACTGGCCCACTTATTCAGCAGGTTAGGTACTGGGCTACTACTGGCCCACTTATTCAGCAGGTTAGGTACTGGGCTACTACTGGCCCCACTTATTCAGCAGGTTAGGTACTGGGCTACTACTGGCCCCACTTATACAGCAGGTTAGGTACTGGGCTACTACTGGCCCCACTTATTCAGCAGGTTAGGTACTGGGCTACTACTGGCCCACTTATTCAGCAGGTTAGGTACTGGGCTACTACTGGCCCACCTTATACAGCAGGTTAGGTACTGGGCTACTACTGGCCCCACTTATTCAGCAGGTTAGGTACTGGGCTACTACTGGCCCCACTTATTCAGCAGGTTAGGTACTGGGCTACTTCTGGCCCCACTTATTCAGCAGGTTAGGTACTGGGCTACTTCTGGCCCCACTTATTCAGCAGGTTAGGTACTGGATCTATACTGGCCCACTTATTCAGCAGGTTAGGTACTGGGCTACTACTGGCCCCACTTATTCAGCAGGTTAGGTACTAGGCTACTACTGGCCCCACTTATTCAGCAGGTTAGGTACTGGACTACTACTGGCCCCACTTATTCAGCAGGTTAGGTACTGGGCTACTACTGGCCCCACTTATTCAGCAGGTTAGGTACTGGACTACTACTGGCCCCACTTATTCAGCAGGTTAGGTACTGGGCTACTTCTGGCCCCACTTATTCAGCAGGTTAGGTACTGGACTACTACTGGCCCCACTTATTCAGCAGGTTAGGTACTGGGCTACTACTGGCCCCACTTATTCAGCAGGTTAGGTACTGGGCTACTACTGGCCCCACTTATTCAGCAGGTTAGGTACTGGGCTACTACTGGCCCCACTTATTCAGCAGGTTAGGTACTGGGCTACTACTGGCCCCACTTATTCAGCAGGTTAGGTACTGGGCTACTACTGGCCCCCCTTATTCCCCAGGTTAGGTACTGGGGCTACTACTGGCCCCACTTATTCAGCAGGTTACGTACTGGGCTACTACTGGCCCCACTTATTCAGCAGGTTAGGTACTGGGCTACTACTGGCCCCACTTATTCAGCAGGTTAGGTACTGGGCTACTACTGGCCCCACTTATTCAGCAGGTTAGGTACTGGACTACTACTGGCCCCCACTTATTCAGCAGGTTAGGTACTGGGCTACTACTGGCCCCACTTATTCAGCAGGTTAGGTACTGGACTACTACTGGCCCCACTTATTCAGGAGGTTAGGTACTGGGCTACTACTGACCCCACTTATTCAGCAGGTTAGGTACTGGACTACTACTGGCCCCACTTATTCAGCAGGTTAGGTACTGGGCTACTACTGGCCCCACTTATTCAGCAGGTTAGGTACTGGGCTACTACTGGCCCCACTTATTCAGCAGGTTAGGTACTGGGCTACTACTGGCCCCACTTATTCAGCAGGTTAGGTACTGGGCTACTACTGGCCCCACTTATACAGCAGGTTAGGTACTGGGCTACTACTGGCCCCTTATTCAGCAGGTTAGGTACTGGGGTACTACTGGCCCCACTTATACAGCAGGTTAGGTACTGGGCTACTACTGGCCCCACTTTATACAGCAGGTTAGGTACTGGGCTACTACTGGCCCCACTTATACAGCAGGTTAGGTACTGGGCTACTACTGGCCCCACTTATTCAGCAGGTTAGGTACTGGGCTACTACTGGCCCCACTTATACAGCAGGTTAGGTACTGGGCTACTACTGGCCCCACTTATACAGCAGGTTAGGTACTGGGCTACTACTGGCCCCACTTATTCAGCAGGTTAGGTACTGGGCTACTACTGGCCCACTTATTCAGCAGGTTAGGTATGGGCTACTACTGGCCCCACTTATTCAGCAGGTTAGGTACTGGGCTACTACTGGCCCCACTTATACAGCAGGTTAGGTACTGGACTACTACTGGCCCCACTTATACAGCAGGTTAGGTACTGGGCTACTAATGAAAAGCGAAAATCGCTGAAGAGTGAAACAGTGTTTTTTTCCCTCTCAAATACATGGTAAAGCCTAATAATATATTTACACTCACATATATAGGCCTAAAATAACTATAGAAAAGTGAAATGTATGTGCAGTACACGCATTACTTACCTTAAAATAATTTCTGCAGTAGCTTGTAGTGACTGGTGAACATATTTATTGTAGGAAGTCTGAAGGAGATGAGATGTTTTCATCCTCTGACTGTTGAACGAATCTTATTTATTTTGATGCAGAGTTGGATGAAGTTTTGGTGGTGTGTGACATGTTGTTGAAGGTTCTTCAAGACTAACTGTTGATGTCGAACATTGCAGCTGCTGCAGCCTGCAATTTGATCTTGAGAAGTTGGCTTCTTTCCTTAATTAAATCTATAATACGAGCTTCAGCTAGCTTCAAATTTATCTTCATCAATTTCCTCACCTCTCTCAGCTGTTTTAGAATTAAAGAGACTTAATGGATAATGGCTTGGCTTACAAGCACATTGTGACTGGCTCGATCTGCAGTCCACAACAATGAAAGTGTTCATTAGTGTAGCACTCTTAATTTCGTTTAATACAATGGTTTACAATTGTACTAACTGTCTGATGAGCCAAACTTAGTTTACATCTTGTTCCAAACATAGACATAGCTTGCTCACTGAGATTAGTCATTATTAACTTTGCAAAAAACTAAGGAATTTATGACTTCTCTTTTTATCACAACTATCCTTAGATGCCATTGTAATTACCACAACAATAGTATATATAATGTACACGGTGGCCTGTGGCCTGGTGGCAAAGGCTCTCATTTCACACGGTGAGGGGCTGGGTTCGGTTCCCGGTGAGGGTAGAAACATTGGGTGTTTCCTTACTCTAGTTGTCTATGTTCACAAAATAGTATTAATGGGTACCTGGGTGTTAGTTGAATGGTGTGGGTGGCATCCTGGGACAAAATTGACCTAATTTGCCCTAAATGTTCGGCATACCAAGTGCTTTCTATATAGCAGTATATCACTGATGTCAGCTGTGGTCTGTATACCTTGTACATGTACTTGTGGAAGTAAAGAAATCAATATTATTATTATTATTATTATTATTATTATTATTATTATTATTATTATTATTATAACATTAAAATGTTTGAAACTTGGAAAGTTTCTAGACAGAATCCAGAGGGCACAGAGCACGTGGAGGCTGTAAACAAACTGAAGAAAATGGCACATAGACGCCCAGCTGCTGGGTTCTTCATCCAAAAAACTGCCAGAATAGCAAAACAGGTGCCAAATAAATGAAAAATGGGCATAATTGAAAGTCTTCATATTAGCAGAACGCTGAAAAACGAAATGCCGTAAAGCGGAGTCCACCTGCACACACTGTACTGTACTGCACACACCCACTGTACTGACACATTCTCATGTATAGGTCAACATTTACTGCTCACAGCATATTTTAGGGTGCTTTGGTTAAGATGTAGATCTTGGTCTATGACACTGATCCCACTGACATAGATCTATGTGAGTGACAGTGTAAGGATTATTACTTGACTAGTATAATGAAAATAATTATGTATAACACAGGCAACATCACATCCAGTTCCACTGACAATCAACCACAAGCAACATCACGTCCAGTTCCACTGACAATCAACCACAGGCAACATCACGTCCAGTTCCACTGACAATCAATGACAGGCAACATCACGTCATCTTACTGCTTGACCGCAACAACAGGAACCTTCACTCCAGTCCCACTGTTGACCAGTAAAGAAATTCAAGTACCACTCACAGCACATCAATGATGGTAAGGACAATTTAATACCACTCACAGCACATTAACGATGGAAAGGACAAATCTTGTGTACTTAGAGGAGTGTACTCATATGTATGTCCATAGAGTTGAGCTCTTGCACTTGGGACTACACCTTTGAATATAGATTATCTAGTACACTAATAACCTATTTGTAAGGTTATTCTCAGAAATAATTAGTTGGAAATTTTTTGTATTGGTGTTACTTCATTAATTTTGCTGCAGTGTTGATGAGTATTGCACCGGGATATAGTACCAAGAAGTACTCTAGCTTAACAGACTCATACCAGGGAACACAGGGAAATAGTACCAGGAAGTACTCGAGCATAACAGACTCATACCAGGGAACACGGGGAAATAGTAGGAAGTACTCCAGCATAACAGACTCAAACCAGGGAACACGGGGAAATAGTACCAGGAAGTACTCTTGCTTAACAGGCTCATAACAGGGAACACGGAGAAATAATACCAGGAAGTACTCTAGCTTAATATGCTCATACCAGGGAACATGGGGAAATAGTACCAGGAAGTACTCTAGCTTAACAGATTCATACCAGGGAACATGGGGAAATAATACCAGGAAGTACTCTAGCTTAACACGCTCATAACAGGGAACACAGGGAAATAGTACCAGGAAGTACTCTAGCTTAGCAGACTCATACCAGGGAACACGAGAAATAGTACCAGGAAGTACTCTAGCTTAGCAGACTCATACCAGGGAACACGGGGAAATAGTACCAGGAAGTACTCTAGCTTAACAAGCACATACCAGGGAACACGGGGAAATAACACCAGGAAGTACTCTAGCTAAACACACTCATACCTGGGAACACGGGGAAATAGTGCCAGGAAGTACTCTACCTTAGCAGGCACATACCAGGGACCACAGGGAAATAGCACCAGGAAGTACTCTAGCTAAACAGACTCATACCTGGGAACACGGGGAAATAATGCCAGGAAGTACTCTACCTTAACAGGTACTTACCAGGGAATAAGGGGAAATAGCAACAGGAAGTACTCTAGCTTAACAGGCACATGCCAGGGACCACAGGGAAATAGTACCAGGAAGTACTCTACCTTAACAGGCACGGAACACGGGGAAATAGCCCTAGGAAGTACTCTAGCTTAACAGGCACATTCCAGGGAACCCGGGGAAATAGTACCAGGAAGTGCTCTAGCTTAACAAACTCATACCAAAGAATATTCAGAAATAGTACCAGGAAAAACTCTAGGTTAATAGACACATACCAGGGAACACGGTGAAATAGTACATAAGAACATAAGAAAGAAGGAACACTGCAACAGGTCCATGTCCCTCCCCGGAATAGCCCAATGACCCACCCAGTCTGGTCACCTCCACTCAAGGATGGAGCATGGCACCAGACCCAGCAACACAAGCTAGTCAGGTTCAACTCACACCCATCCACACCCACTCATGTATTTATCTAACATATTTTTAAAACTACACAACGTTTTAGCCTGAATAACTGTGCTCGGGAGTTTGTTCCACTCATCCACAACTCTATTACCAAACCAGTGCTTTCCTATATCCTTCCTGAATCTGAATTTTTCCAACTTGAAACCATTGCTGCAAGTCCTGTCTTGGCTGGAAATTTTCAGCACGCTATTTACATCCCCTTTATTTATTCCTGTTTTCCTTTTATACACCTCGATCATATCCCCTCTAATTCTACGCCTTTCGAGAGAGTGTAGATTCAAGGCCCTCAGTCTATCCTCATAGGGAAGATATCTGATACATGGGACCATCTTTGTCATCCTCCTCTGTACATTTTCCAGGGCATTTATATCCATTCTGTAATATGGTGACCAGAACTGAGCAGCATAGTCTAAATGAGGCCTAACCAAGGATATATAGAGTTGAAGAACAACCTGAGGACTTCTATTATTTATACTTCTAGATATGAAACCAAGAATTCTGTTAGCTTTATTGCGAACACTAATGCACTGTTGTCTTGGTTTTAGATTACTGCTAACCAGAGCTCCTAAATCCTTTTTGCAATCAATAGTATTAAGATCTACATTATTTAGTTTATATGTTACATGGTAATTTAACTGTCCAACATTTAGAACTTTGCATTTGTCAATATTAAACTGCATCTGCCACTTCTCCGACCATTGCATCAGTCTATTCAAATCATCCTGAAGTGCTCTAGTGTCCTCATTAGAATGAATTGGATGGCCTATTTTGGTGTCATCAGCAAATTTACTTATGTCGCTATTTATTCCCTCATCAATGTCGTTTATGTAAATTGTGAACAACAACGGGCCCAACACTGACCCCTGAGGAACACCGCTTGTGACATGCCCCCATTCTGATTTTTCCCCATTTATGCAAACTCTCTGCTGCCTATTTGTCAGCCATGCCTCTACCCAGGAAAAAATTTCTCCTCCTATTCCATGTGCCTTAAGTTTCCTCAATTGCCTCCAATGTGGAACTCTGTCGAAAGCCTTACTGAAGTCCATATACACAATATCATATTCATTACCATGATCTACCTCCTCAAACACCTTAGTGAAAAAAGTTAGTAAATTCGTAAGACAGGAACGCCCCTTTGTAAAACCGTGTTGAGATACATTAATCAATCTGTGTCTATCAAGATGGCTATGAATTGCTTCGGCAATTATTGATTCCATAAATTTTCCCACTATGGAGGTAAGGCTTATTGGTCTATAGTTCGAAGCCAAGGACCTGTCACCTGCCTTGTAAATAGGTATTACATTTGCCATTTTCCACTTATCAGGCACTATGCCAGTTTTTAGTGATATGTTTAAAAGATTTGCCAAATGTATGCTAAGTTCCTCTTTGCATTCCTTTAACACCCTTGCAAACAGTTCATCAGGGCCTGGGGATTTGTTAGGTTTTAGTTTTTCTATTTGTCTGAGGACCATGTCACTAGTTACCGCAATCATATATAGTTTATTATCCTGTTCTACATAATCTATTATTTCAAGAATATCGCTAGTATTTTCCTGGGTGAAAACTGAGAGGAAGTAGGTATTGAGAATTTCACACACATCCTTATCTCTGTCAGTGATTTGACCAGTCGGGAATTATACGCAGGAAGGAATACATATGAATGACCTCATAGGGGACAGGAGCCATAGTAGGGAAACAAGTGTAGTCAAAGATAAGATAAAACCAATATTGCAAACTAGAAATACCGCAGGAAATAGCAAACAAGAGGACTCCAATAGCAATAGTGAGGATAAATTACCAAAAACAACTGGTGGGAGCTCCATTGTTGGTGCTAGGGAGGATAGAAGTAAGACAGGGAAACATGCACCAACAGGGAATACAGTCACAGAAACCCAAGGCAAGCGGAAACCAAGCCTGTGCACATACTATGCACTCGGTATCTGCTGGCATGGGAAATCTGGAAAAACAGATGGGACATGCAACTATGACCACCCTAGAAAATGCCAGGCCCATATGACAACAGGAAAATGCAAACTCCCTTCCTGTAAGTTTTTCACCCTGAAATGTGTACCTCTCAGTACAGGAAAGACTGTGCTATAACTTAAATTGCCAGGCATACCATCTAAAGGGGACAAAAAGATACAAAACATCCAGGCCATGGGAAAACCTGGGTAGCCACAGCCACGCAAGAGGGAGAGGTTTTTTAGTGCCAGGAAGGAAAAAAAACTGGCAGGAAATGGCAGAAATCGTACACCAAATCCAGTCATTCCTGGAGTGGAACCACAGTCGATGGCCTCCACTCCAAACCAACAGATACAGATACTAATGCCGGAAAAAAAATCCCCCCCAGTACCAACAATACCACCAGTCCGATAACATTCTTCTTTGCAAATATACAGGGTCTAAAGCCAGCAACAAACAACAAAATACCTTTCATCCGTGGACTGCTTGCAGAGGCAAAGGCAATGTTCGCGGCTTTCACTGAGACCCACATAAAGGATCACTTGGACAACGAAGTATGGATCCCAGGTTACAACCTATACAGATGTGACAGAGTGAACAGGCAAAAGGGGGGGGTTGGCCTGTACATTGCAGAGTCACTTGTTTGCACAGAACTGCTTAATGCCTCAAATGACGTAGTGGAAGTTTTAGCAGTAAAGGTCGAGAACCAAAACCTAGTCATTGTGGTAGTCTACAAGCCTCCGGATGCAACATCCCAGCAATTCCAGGAACAGCTGTTAAAAATTGACCACTGTCTGGAAAATCTTCCAGCTCCTGCACCCAACATCTTGCTCCTGGGGGATTTCAACTTAAGGCACCTAAAATGGAGGAATATAGCAAATAATATTGTTGCAGTAATAACACCAGGAGGCAGCTCTGATGAAAACTCACACTCACACGAGCTTTTAAATCTCTGCACAAAATTCAATTTAAACCAGCAAATAATAGAGCCTACAAGACTGGAGAATACACTAGACCTCATCTTCACTAACAATGATGATCTGATAAGAAATGTCACCATATCAAAAACAATATACTCAGATCACAACATAATTGAGGTTCAGACATGTATGCGTGGAGCCCCAGACCGACAAAATGAGACTAGTCACGAGGGAGCATTCACCAAATTCAACTTCAATAACAAAAACATAAAGTGGGACCAAGTAAACCAAGTCCTAACCGATATAAGCTGGGAAGATATACTAAGCAACACAGACCCAAACTTATGCCTAGAACAGATTAACTCGGTGGCACTCGATATATGCACAAGGCTTATTCCTCTAAGAAAAAGGAGGAGTAGATGTAAAATAGAAAGAGACAGGCGCTCCCTTTACAGGCGACGGAAAAGAATAACAGAGCGGCTAAAAGAGGTCAATATATCTGAAATGCGCAGGGAGACACTGGTCAGAGAAATAGCAAGCATCGAACTTAAGCTAAAAGAATCCTTTAGGAGTCAGGAATCGCGGGAAGAACTAAAAGCCATAAATGAAATCGAAAGAAACCCAAAGTATTTCTTCTCCTATGCCAAATCAAAATCGAGAACAACGTCCAGTAT